AGGGAAAGATTTGGTATAATTTAACATTGGGAAAGGATGGACATAAAGTTTTAATTGTTTTGGAAAATTGCAGATTCAAGAAAAAGATGAATTTCTTATGAATGCGACATTAAGGAGGTATAGATCCCACCATCCTTCACCCATATGCTTTGAGAAATATTATAGGGAATACGTGGTTGCTTCGTTGCCTCTTCTAGAGGTTTTAGATAACTTGCCTGTTACTAAGATTGATAGAGTAACGGCGAAGACTATCTACCGGAAAAACTTTGAGTACTTGCCTTACAAAAGACAGCAGAAAGAAAGTATTGTCAGTCTTTTGCATAAGCGCGAAATGGGATCAAGTAAGATGTATTTTCAGAAAAAACCGAGGCCAAAACATTTGGACCCTTACCATGCTAATCTGCTGTATTTCTCGCGGTCTCTTTGTGCTGCCAAGTTGGGGTCTTCTGAATGGCCACTCTTGCATCCAGTATCCAACTTTAGCAGAAAATTTAAAGAGGAAGGTAAAAGGCCTCGTCCAAGGCAATTTGAGTACCATCCATTAGACCCTAGTCTTATGGTTTTTGGAACCCTTGGCGGTGAAGTCGTCGTTATCAACCATGAAAATGGGAATACTGTTAGTTATATCCCATCCGTGGGAGCAATGAGTAGTGTTTTGGGGCTCTGTTGGCTTAAGAAGTATCCATCAAAGGTATGCTCTTTTTCCTTGCATGTTTTCTTATATGTTCAATAAGTCGTACTAGAACGAAATCTCAATCTTTTTCTCATACTTTTGTGTTTATACCCCAACGAAATTTACATTATCTAGTATTGGGAATCACATTTATGTCAAATCTTACCCTTCCAATAGAACTTGACAAAATGTATCAAATTTTCTAGTATTAGGAATCATAATTGCTAGATATTGGCCCTTGTTAAAATGTGACAATAATTCACTAATCCTTTTTTCATCTTTTGAACAAGTAGCTTATTGCAGGCTCTTGCAATGGTTCCTTGAGACTGTTGGACATCAATCAAACCCTACCAAAACGCTCAGACTCCTGTTGCGGCCCAGCAGATTTCGCTTTCGAAAGTTTCGAGCAGTTGACTTCTCTTCATGTCAACTCAACAGATGAGAAGCTCCTTGCTAGTGGCTACTCAAAGGACGTTGCGCTATATGACCTTGGCACGGGAAAACGCTTACAATTGTTCGCTAATATTCATCGCGAGCCCATCAACGTTGCCAAATTTGCTTCCCATTCACCTTTTATATTTGCTACCTCTTCCTTTGACCATGATGTGAAGATGTGGGATTTGAGACAGAACCCATTGCAACCTTGCTTTACAGCTTCAAGCTCAAGAGGAAATGTCACGGTTTGCTTTTCTCCTGACGACCTCTACTTGCTAGTTTCAGCTATTGACAATGAGGTATGCCTAATTAAACAAGTACACAATCTTATTTTTCTGTTGGCAAAAAGTTTCATGGGAAACATTATGAATTTTGTGGATGTTATTCATTTTAATCACTTTGGTGGTGTCACCCTTCTTAAATAAATTTGATTTTTTTTTTCACTGATGCATCTTGAATTTATTGGTGTCTGGTAGCTTGGAGAACCGAACTTTCAATTTTAGCAAATAAGATGCTAAATTTGAAAATCTGTTGCTACTATAGTCCAATAGCAACAAAAGGTCAATTGATGGATAGAATTCCCCATGACTTTTGCGCAAAATGCAGTCAAAACTTTTTATTGGTTTGCAAGTTGGACTCTAAACTTTTTAATCTTGGCATTTGAGACCCTAATTTCAGCTCATTGATTAATGTTCCTTATCGATTGAACTGCATTGCCTTTAATTGTCAAATTTAGAGTCCGAAATGCAAAAACCAAAAGTTTGGGATCCAACTGATGAATGATAGAAACAATTGGGTGTATTAGTGTAAATCACCCCAAGCTTTATGCTTAGTTAACCCGTTGGTCCCTAAACAATGAAAGGCTCATTTTAGTACCTAAACTCTTAAAAAGACAATCTGTTAAGTACTAATAGAAAGAGCCTCAAAAAGAAATGCTAGCTCCTGTGCTTCAAATGCTATTTCTATCAGATCTTTGGGGACTAATAAAATTCTCGATTTTTAAATTTAGAGACCAAAATGAGACTTTTAACATAGTTTAGGGACCAAAGTTTTACCTCTTGCTGATCCCGAAGTTGATTATGAAGACCTGTAAGTTTTGAGGATTGGCAGGTTAAGCAACTATCAGCAGCAGATGGGAGGCTGATAATGAACCTTGAGATAGCTTCAACAGGAAGTGCTCATAACTATACTCGTTCACATTACATGAATGGAAGGGATTACATCATTAGTGGGAGTTGGGATGAACATGTTGTCCGAATCTTCTGTGCTCAATCTGGAAAGCGACTCAGGGATGTCTATTTGGAGGTACTTTTTTATATATTTAAAGTGATGATCGAGTAAATTGCATTGTTGCACCCCGAACCCTAAATTTTTAATTTTATCAAATTGCATCCTAAACTTTATAATCAGTGACAATTGAGGTCAAATAACTAACGAATACTATTAAATTAATGGCTTAAGATATAAGATTCACACATAAAATGTAAAGATCGTAACTTTTCAAACATGTCATATGTACAAATCTCGTGTCTTAAACTGTCAATTTGATATCATCATTAGCTATTGAACTTTAATTGCTACTGATTTTAAAGTTTAGAGTGCAATTTTCCAAAATTGCAAGTTCTGAGTCCATTATCTAAAAATAAATATTTTCGGGTGTAACAGAATAATTTACTCTGTTTGATGAGATATTTGTATTTTCTTTGCTTGCTTAGGTGGTCACAGATTGTCTGTGCTAAAACTCTTGGTATGCTTTTTCTCTTTTGCAGGATTTGGATTCGGGAGATCCAATGTTTGTACAGTCATTAAGGAGCGATCCATTCAGAGTAAGTTTCTATTTTCTTTTTTCCTTTTCTTAACTTCATCTGAGATTGTTTTCACTGACATGGTTGTCAGTCCTAGACTAATGTATTTGACAAAAAAGTTATAAAAATGAGATTATTTGATATGTTAATATATTTTGTTCTCCGATACGTGATGCCATCTTGAATGTTATATCTACTGTCATAAATTTTAAGCTTTGAAATTTATAAAAGAAAAATTATAATTTTTTAAGTAATTGAATAATGATAATGCTATAAATTAATAAGTGAAAGAATCAACATATCAATTGATAAATAACCAAGTGCCACCAAGCATTGCGTATATCAAATTTGATACTATTTGCATTGAGAATGATTTCTTATCTAAATACTAAGGCTTTGTTTGGTTTGTAGGTTCGACTTTTGTAGTTTGAACCCTTTTATTTGGCATTGGCATGAAAATTTAGCTCTCCTCTCCGCTTAAAAAAAAAAAAAACTAAAAACCAATAGAAAACACCTTTGTTCCACTTGAATATCAATGTCTTATCAGTTTGTGTGTGTCATCTTTCTATGCGAGAAAACATGCTCTATGAGTTATGGACATTAACAAATACTTTGCCATTATTTTCTTTAAAATACAAAAAAACAAAAAACAGGATTTCAACATGAGCGTCTTGGCAGCCTCTATGCGACGAAGCTCAAAGTGGGAGATCATCAAGGTAACTTATACGCATTGTCGTTTTTGGTATTGTTGATTGTATGGACACAGAAAATGGTTAGACTAAATACAATGAGAAATGCTAAATTGCAGGTCAATTTGCTTGCTTCAAGTGCCCAATACGCCGAAGAATGTTCATATGGCCAATTTTTCTCTACTTCCGATAGTCTAGGTGGTTGATGTATATGTTATATACACAGATAACAGAGCGTGTACATATATATCTATTGTAGTTATTGGATTTTGTCTGTTTTGTGTGCATATAGTGCAAGATATGGAAATTTGTGTTTAATATTTGAGATTGAAATGTCTGTCCTGATTGGTTCATTCTTGTGGATAATTCTCAGTAATTTCACCTCAAGTTAGTGCCTTTCAATTTCAAACGACATACTGCTTGTCGTTTTTGATGTATACGACATAGGACTTTTTAGAATAAAACTTAAGTACATATGTTTGGGAAGGGGAACGACAACAGATTTTGAAAGAAAATGACACGTCGTTTGTTGAATTGTTAAAACAACCGAAGTTCCTAACCTAGCTACTTATAAGGGCAGAAGAAGTAGTCAATCAATGATACGATATTAAAAAACCTTTACGATAAAATTGACATGTTGTTTTTGGCAATCTAATTTTGGAGATTTTAATGGTGATAAACCGTTTTTTTTTTTTTTTTTTTAAGAAAAAAAGAAATGCTTAACAAGAAACTTTTGGACTATATAAGCGATATGCCTTTTTCTAGATTAAAGGACATTAAAATGGTAAAAGACAATCGACATGTTATTTGTTATTTGTGCAAGCGACACTAAAATTCAAGGATTAATTAGTGGCATCCTCCTTTTTCTTTTTCTTTTTTTCCTTTTCATAAACAACAAGTTTAAAATTTGTAAACGACAAATATGAATAATTGCCATGTTGCCGACTACCATTGATCGATGTGGACATACATACATATATGTTTCATACAATGGGCATGTCTTTTTGGACGAGCAACATGTTTTTTCAAACAATTTTATTAATCATCCGTAACTTACAATGATTTTAATGGTTATTCTAATTCTAAAATTTATTTATTCATAGGTATCATAATATAAGATATTAATCAAACAGTTATAATAGATTAGATAGTTGATAAAAATTATTTTGATAATAATAAAATTAAAATTTTAACACATATCCTCACTTGTATTAAAATATGCCCTTATTATAAAGGTTTTCGTGGAAAACAAGTCCATATATATATGTATGTATGTTTTCCGTTGACTTAAACCCCACCACATTACTCAAAGGAATATTACGGATTTTTTTTCTTTTTTTTGGGAAAAAAAGGAATATTAAGGTTTAGTGAACGTTGCACTACAAATAACTCTCTTTCTTTTGCACATTAAAACGAATATGGGTGTAAGTCGAAGCACATAAACAATATTGCAAAACAACCTATAATTTTCTTCTCGTTCTGTGAAACAAATATTCATAATCGCGTTGTACCTACTACCATCCGTTCATTTCACCGATTTGAGTTTAGAATTCGAGTTTTGTTACAGTAAAAAGCTCTCAGAAACAGTCACATCTAACTTTTTTGCTACAGTAAAAAGTTCTCACACAAAATTACATCTCAACTCGAATCAGCGAAGTGAACGGATCCACTTGTTTGAACTCCAGTCAGATCTAGTCTTCGCACCCTTTTTCGGGGTGGAAAGAAATCAAAAGAAAAAAAAATTTAAAATGACCGCTTTGGTAACACTAATTAACTTAGTAAGTAAGACGAAGCCAAAATTGAAGACAGCAACTTGCATGGTTAGACTTATTGTCATGATTTATTTACAAGTGTACAAGTACGTATACACAGATAGATACATACGAATATATATAGAGAGAGAGACACACACACAAAATTAAAAAATTAAGAATGTAAAGGGTTGATGGGTATCTCTAGACTTTTCAAACGTGGATTTAAGGCGAAAAATAAATAAATACTAGAAAGCCAAAAGCTGAGTAGGCCAACGACCCAAAAAAACGCGTCAAACAAGATTCGTTATTCCACCAACCCCACTCCACACCTCCAATTCAATACAGTCTTATATTAAAGCTGTGAAGTCGTCTTGTATCCAAAGGCCCATTTTCATGATTTATTTTCTTAAGGAAAAACAAACCTAATTCCTCGACAAATATATGTACACACACACACACACACATATATATATATATATATATATATATAATATAAAATATTGGTTGTTTCTTTTTCTCACATAAAGCAGACTTCCAAAGAGTGACGCTAGCTCTATAAATATGCCTAGGGTACGTAACTATGTGTCGCACGACCATTACTTATTATTATAGTTTGTTATTTAGGGTCCTCAGAGCGTGACATTTTGATCTTTTATTAATCTGTTTCTTTTGTGTTAAGTACTTTCAACCAGGGACGTAGCTAACTAAGGCCCGGAAGGGTTGCAGCCTCCCTGAGCTCAGGCCCTATTCTTTTCGTTGATTCGAGTTTAGAATTCGAGTTTTACTACAGTAAAAAATTTTCAGAAATAGTCACATCTAACTTTTTTACTACAGTAAAAAATTTTCACACAACATCACATCTCAACTTGAATTGAAAACTCAAATTAACGAACTAAACAGGCCATCAATTAACAACTTTAGTGTTATTCAAAAAATATTTTGTTTTGCCTATTTTTTCTTGTTTCGTCCCCCAAAAATTTTCCATTTATATTTCAGTGATTTGGTCCATTTATAGTCTGTATTCGCAAGTAATATTTACGTCTTCTAGAAGTAGAACTCTCATGAAAATTAAATAGGAAGGAAATTATGAGGTGCAAATGAAACAAGTTGGGAAAAGCAGAGCTAGAGTACAAATTATTTGTTTGCCTCATGCAGCTAAATAATTATACTTTCTTGGAATAATTATTATTAATGTATGCAATCATACTTTTGTAATCGGATTGGATTCTTAGTTGTTATTTTCTCTCTCTTCTTTCTTTGACCAAATCTCTTCATAATTACTCCGCTCCTTTCGGATAATAGACACTGGAATTGGAACTGTTAACATAGTAGAAGGCAACTTTCTTAACAAAATCATATTATAAGCCTGGTGAAATGGTTGCCTATAAAATCCCATATTTAAACAAGGAAATTAAACATTTACCAGCTGTAAGGAGACAAACAGAAAATAAGGGAAGAAAGTAAGAGCTCAGAATGCTGTATACGTTCTTTACTCTCTCTGATCAAGCCTCGGCAAACATAACTCTTGTGGGCTTATTTTTTTTTACATAACTTAACCGAGACTCAGGTTAAGCTCCGTCTCGGAAACTTGTGAGGTTAGGAGTAAAGCATCCCGAGGTTGGCGTATCTCGTTGGGCGTGGAGAAGCATTGGGAACCCCAATTTCTTTCTTCAGAGCCGTTTCTTTTCCCGTCCCCCCGCCCCGGCATAGCGCTTCGCTTCCGGTTCTTCGGAAGAATCAACTGACTTCCCCCTTCTTCATTGATCTGGGGGAAAAGGAACTGTCTACCTGTTGGGAAGCTAGACATCAAGTAAGTGGCTTGATGAGGATAACTAAGCTGACACGCCGGAGTTGGCTGCTGGCACAACAGGGTGGTGCCTTACCGCACCACAGGCGAACGCGCGGTAGCGTTCGTGGTGGTGCTTCAGGATTCCCCTCAAAACTTCTGTCACTCTACCCCCGCAGGGGCAGAAAACCCATCGCTGTCTTGGCTGTGCTACCGGTGGCCCCATTTCGCCTTACCAACCCCAGGGAAACTCCGAATACAGGCCTAGATCGTTTGTACAGACAGACTTTTGGGGTGCTAAGATCCAAAGTCGAGAGGGAAACAGACAAATCAATAGGAAATGCTATTTGCTTTGTAAGAATAAGAAAAAACTTCTATGAAATGAAAGAGTTTCGCGGGAATTGTCTTGATCGTGGGATATCATTGAGAAATAGGAATAAGTGTTATCGAACTGACTTGAGTTATATATGTGAGAGAAAAAAACTATAATAAAAAAATTAAATTTAAATTTTTATGAGAAAAAATACTGTAATAATAAGACTTGAGTAATGACTTGAGTCATGAAATGAAATCAACGTACCCTAAAAATAACAAACAACAACAGCAAAAAGGTTCTCTTGTACTCCGTTTGAGTCATGAAGGTTTTTTTTTTTTTTTTTTTTTCATGCTAAAATTTTGTATGTCGAGCAATCCCACAATATCCCAATATAACTGGTAAAAAATACCAAAGAAACCATCACAAAAACCATCCAGTCCTGGAGCCTTTCGTCCTCCAAAAGGTATGAAAGAACTAGGCCATCGAGATCTGTAGGACAGCATTGCCAAAACTCATTCATATATATATATATATATATATATATATTAGGATGTGTACACATATATAAGTTTTTAATGATTATATTTTTATAAATATATATGGCAATGTTGTACTACAGTTACATTACTCTTTTAGTGTACATGTGGTAACAACACTATAATAACTGGAAGAAGAATTTCATCAATAAATAATTAAAAAAATGACATTTCTATAAGACCGTATGGTTAAAGAGACCATGCATTTGGTATGACCTCTTCGGTGCAGAAGCAGCAAAGAGGACTTCAATAACAATAGTAATTCAAAGTTGCATTTTTTTCCTTTCAATTTTTTCGTATTTCTTTCTCCAGATACAAAACGACAGATTGTAGAAAGAACACACAACTGAGATGTGGGTATTCACTATCACAACTTCTGAGTTTTGGGTTTGTTAGGCGAAGATCTGACGGTGGAGTCAGGGTTGATGCCGGGGGCTAAGTGATCTGTTGTCGGCGAGGGACGGGACCTGTGGAGAGGGCCGGAACACGTGCAGATCGGAGTTAGGAGATCTTCTCGAGGATGATTCACCGGTGGGGGAGGTTTGGGTTCTATGGTGCAGAAAGGAGGAAGATGAACAGAGATCTGGGTTTTCTCTTTTTAACGGATATTGTAAGAACCGTGTATAGGAGGGTTTATTTTTGTTCCGTAGTCCTTCAACTTTTAATACCACAAGAACAAAAATAAAAAAAAGAAAAAAAAAGAAACATGCATAATAAATCTTGGCCTATGTTAACGAATACAACTGATTATTAATCTGTGATGTTATTGTCCAAGCTCACTGCGAAGACCAGACTCACAAGTATAAGATTTTCTTCCCACATTCATATAACAAAGTATTTTACAAGACTGAATCAAATCCTTCATAAATAATTCCTTTTTTGTTCTCTCAACAAATCATGTAAAATACACAAAAACAAGACCTTCCATTATGAATTATTTTCACCGTCAAATGTACACCGTTTATGGAGCTTGAGTCAAAACCTCAGGTTACACAAAGGCTTCCGTTACAAAACTCAACCCCTCCCTGCATTACCATGCCGATGGTTTCTGAAGTAGGTCAGAAGTGCCTGCGCCTGCAAGCAAAATCGAAAACTTTGAAATCAATTTCTCACCGAAAAAATTAACGAGTGTTTGTGCAAGACAGAAACAGAGATTCAGGCAACCATCCTCGGCAGCAACCAACGTACCTTTTCTTTCGCCCTCGGAGTGCCAGATTGCGACAACGCCACTAATGGTGGGACTGCCCCTTCTTGGAGCACCATGTTACAAAACCTACCACTATTTGTGCAGAGTTGTAAAAGAGCAGCCGCTGCATTCTCCTTCCCTCTAGCCGAACCCAACTCAACAACCTCAACCAAAACAGGGATCCCACCCTCCTGGCCGATCGCAGTCCTTCCCTCAGGAATTGTAGCAAGATTGGCCAAAACAGCAACTGCCTTGTCCACCATGCCAGCTGCCGGGTCCATCAGCTCTACTAGGTATTTCACAGCTCCAGCTTGAACAATCCGGGCCTTGTTCTCATGAAATATTGATAAATTGAATAAAGCTGTGGCTGCGTCTTTCTTCCCTCGGGGAGTCCCATTCCCCAATAAATCAACCAATGGCCTAATAGCTCCAGACCTTCCAATTGCAACCTTGTTATTCTCGATCACCGAAAGACTAAATAGAGTGGCAGCTGAGTTCTCCTTCGCCTCGGCGCTACCAGTTTGGAGGACATGAATCAAAGGTTCAATCGCATTGGCATTAGCAATTGCAGCTTTGTTGTTATCATTGATTGACAAATTCAGAAGTGCAGTAACAGCATTTTCCTGAATTTTTGCATCTTCCGAGCGGAGCAAATTCACCAACAAGTTAATGGCACCACAATTTGCTATAACAATCCGATTATCCATATTATTCCTGGCAAGTAACCGAAGTTCAGCTGTTGCATCTCTTTGGGTATCGATCGAACTACTTTGTAGCTCCTCAACAAGCTTACGAACTTGAGCTTCAACGTCAGCAAGGTCGGCTCTCATTTCAACAACAGGAGAAACTATCCTTGGCGCAAACCTCTCAGATGGCCTACGCCAAATTGTATGGCTTCTAGACCTTGCTGGAACCTGAGCAACAGCCTGTGGCTCTCTTTTAACATCCCCAGAAGCATCACTGCTGTAGCCCGTAAGATTTGCTGAATCATGTAAAGCCTCATTGGCATCTCCTGGCGTTTCTTGCGGAAAATTAGCACTAGAAATTGTGCTAGAAGCTGACACAGTTCTACTATGTCTCTGAGATGACTCTCCAACTCCATTAACGTTGGATAATTCTTTTCTCGAAGGTGATGTAGACGGTTGGCCAACTGAATCAGGACTCTTTTCTTCGGAGTTAGTGGACCTATCTTCAGAACTTGTCAATGACACTCTTGCAATATCTAAGCCCTGCCCGTTTCCAGCTACACCAGACAAGGAGCCTTCTGATGTAGAACGAGGATGCAATGGGGAACTTCCTTCTCGATCGAATCCACCTGATGCGGTAAAGATCGTAGTTGGCGAACCTATGGGCCGAGTTGATTCGGGTGACATTGGTTGGTTTCCCCTAGACTGAGGAAAAACGGGTGTATCCCTGGTCGTACCAGAATCTGCATTTCCTAGAAGATGTGATGGCTGATTTAAACCCGTAGTCCTTGCTGGATCGGGAAGCTTTACATTGTTTGACTCGCACCAATTTACAATTAGAGCCTTTACAGTATAATTGGTTATTAAATTGGTGTGAGCAAGAGTCTGCCTTGTCTTAGGACAAACTGTGAGGCCAAGATCAATCCAATTCTTAATAAAGGCCCGCTCATAGGTTTGTCCTGATGCCACAATTACAGGATCTGTCATTAGCTCCAGAGAGAGAGGACAACAGAAATCAGGAGGTATTGGAACTGGGCTGCAATTCTGGGACTGCTTTATCATAATAAGCCTCTCATGCATGCGTGTTACTAAAGCAATCATCTGATCCATAAACTCAGCTTCATCGGTCTTTTCAGATTGCTCTGCGTTCTCCTTCACCTTTCCAAGTGCTACGGCCTCGATAAGAATATCCTGGTTTGACCTCAAGCTAAGGTTCTCCGCAATTTTAACCAGGATCTCTGAGCTGGGTCCACCACCCTCCACTTGATATTTTATAGCTTCTTTTAAGACATTTGACATTTGTTCAAATCCCAAATGCTTAATTTTCTGTATGCAGTGCTGCAATCAATTACACTGAGTGAGACATTTTATATCACATGTTCTAACTAAGAACTTAAACACTAAAAAGGCTAGAAAGAATTTCTGCAGCAATCACAATCAAATAGATGCCTTTTCATTATAGTCTAACTTTATTAGGAATAAACCAGAGATGTTGAACAATATGCATTACATCTACAACACAGGAAGGGATATATGAACAATAATTAACTACTAGTTTACTTCAGGGCCAAAAAAAGGGTAGTTTGCTACCTCAAGTGACACTGAATCCAATTCATCAGGAAGAACTTGATGAGAAGACTTCAGCAACTGGAAGATGTCCAAGCTAGAACTCCGAATCTTCGATAGCAACGATTCAATTTGTAGAGCCTAAATAATCATCAACAAAAGAAAATGGTTATATGTTGTGAAGAATGAACCCTTTTCCATTTTTTGACTTTGAAGCGTGATCATTTATCAGCATAAAACAAAAGAATCATAATAAATGCAACAGATGAAATCATTTAGAGATAGAGCTTTAAGTGAAACTCAACTGATAGAATCTTGTATTTTATGAAGTAATTCTTTAGCTAAAGTGACTCCTGTAGAAAACCTAAAGCCCTAGTACACAATCACGAAGAAGACCAACAATTGAACATTTCTCACTGTACAATGCTTCATCATTTCTTATACCACCACCTTCAACAAACAAATAAATGAATAGTACTGCCACAACAATCACAGACAACCTTTACCACCACTACTTCTGTTAGTTTATAATTTCTACCACTTGACACTCTGTCCCGTCACAAACTATTTACTTTCAAGCCATCATAGATTAACCAAAACCACAAGAACATAGGGATCCTTTGGAGTGAGAAAAACATCAGCAACCAATACAGCAAATGAACATAAATGCCTCCCGTAACTAAAGATTATCAGAATAGACTACAAGATATCTCTGATCACTAAGAATACTAAAGGCATAATCAAAACCCCGTTGCCTAAACACAAACTTATCATGACGACGTTGATTCTATAAGTTCAATTTAGGAAACTGCACCTTAAACGAATAAGTTGAAAATAATTCCAATTCACAAGCTACCGTCAAGTAAAAGTTCGTAACTTACAAAATAAACTTTACTTGACAACGGATGCCAGTTTACAAACTGCTCCCTCAAATCATCAATAAAACAACCAAGTTCTTCAAATGACTTCTTAAGAACTTCACTAGAAGCTGCTTCAGAGTCGATAAAAGCATCAAGTATTGTTTTCAACAACTTCAATATCTCTTCTGCCCTCTGGTAATACTTCAGAAATGGCTCTGAATTTATGTTAACACAGGATGATAAATGGAAAAATGAAGAGATGTTATCAAGAAGCACTTTTAACAATGATATCTCCATCACACCTGCATCAGTACACCAAAAAGTTACCATAACAAACGGGTCAAGCTGAAGGATTGTCGTCATTTAAGAAATGGCATTAAAAGTGATTAATCAAACAAAAATTCAATCAGAATACGTTTTGAACCAAGTAATACCTTCTCACAAGTTACAAATATCTGGAAAAGAATTAGATAGGTTATGATTTGATCTATAACAACGAACCGATTCACCAATGACTGCTATATTTGTTCAAATTTTTATGTATGATTGTGGGGTTGAACTGCTTTTGAGAATGAAAAGACCAAAAAGAAATTGAATATATTCACATGATGTGCAGCAAAGGTTTGTATGTTGAGTTCTATCAGAAGTTCTTTTGGGGAAATTGTATCAGAAGTTCTTATGCAAACAATTCGACAGATTTTAGAACCAGTAAAAAGAAAAAGAAAGAAATCTGTTCAAAAAACCCTTTAACAATAATGAAAATGATAACCAATGGTAATATCTGTAATCATACAACACCAACTATTATAATTTGTCTCATAACAGCTAAGGTTCATTAGCAGCAACAAAATGTAATAGCCGCGTACTTTCATGACAAAGCGACCAAATTGTACCTTCCTTCAGCATAAACTTATAAATTCAAAAACCAAAGCAATCTTTCCCACATTTCTGATCCTTGAAATACAAAATATCCATGAAAATGAAGAAAGCACTATGGAATTCCCCAAGAAAAGAATGAATCCTTGCTATCAAGAAATCAAACCCCCCTCAAAACTCTTGGAATTTAGAGCTCCTCAACTGAGAAATCCTGCACAAACAAAAAACTTCAAACTTAATGACTTCGAAAAGCTAAAAACACATAACTAGAATTAGCAACTGAGAATATCTAGTTAATCTCTTTGGTGAAGCCAGTAGTACATTCCCTGCCTCTAGGCAGCCTGACTTAGGTTCCAACCAGGATGGTTCCTTCAAAAACTTTACTCAACAAAGAAATCTAAGAAAAATTTGTTCCGGTTTCAAGCTATTATACCAAAAACTTTCCCAATATCTATTAAACAAGAAAATAAAATAACTAAAAGCAGAAAAGAAAGTGAATTTTGAGAAATTCTAAATAATAAACTCAACCCAATACTCCTTGCAGCGAGCCGTTTACTACGAAAGGAAATTCTTCTCTTAGAGTCAGAAATTACCATAAAGCTTATATGAAACAATATTTAACGTCAGCACCACGAAAGCTTCTTTAGTTTACAATTTAAGCAAAAGTTTCTTTTTCTTTTCTTTTTCCCCCATTTCTTAACAACAACAAAGCATGTTTCCGTGTTCTCTTACAGTTAAAATATGTGTATAAAAAATGGCAAAAATTTTGGGTTATAAGTTACCAAATTCTTAACCAAATAACTTGCTTCAGCTCCAATTACGGCATGCCCAGATTGGAAAATTCGATTAGAAAACCGCGAGAAACATCAACTTGATAAAAGAAATTCCTTTGATGCGAAAATCCGCTAGTAATTATACTATAAATCTCAGTCATTAAAATTACCCAAATAAAGAAAGAAAAAAAGAAAGGCTTCGTACAGCATTCGAATCAAATGTAACGTTTCAAAAGAAAAGGGACGAACAGTACTTAGAACTTAGCCATGTGATCAATCAATCCTACATCTGTAGATTGAACCAAACTGATTCGCAATTGAAATCGAATTCGAGGTCAAATCAAAAGGAAGAAAACGGAAAATGAAATTTGAAAAGACAAATTGATCATTTTGAGCCCAGAATGCAACAATCGAAAGCGTGGAACCAGTCAACCAACAGAAAAATGAGGAGAAAACTTTAGAAGAAAAATGCCGAGGAAGAAAACTCAAAATGGAAAGCTGACGAGCAAAGAAGAAGAAGTCGTTTTAGCCAATCTCTTCCCTCGGACATAGACCGGCCAGATTTCGCTTATTTTCAGCTGGGTTTTTGTTTTTCTTAAAAAATAATAATTATAATAATATAACTTTTTTTTTTCCTTTTTCTTACCTAAATTCTAGAGGATCATTCTTTTCGAATTCTAATTGACGTAAACGATGATGATGATGATGATAGTGATTATTTTTTGAGAAGGGGTATTTGTGTTATAGTTGTAGTTAATCTCATAAATGTTCTATTTTATTTGAGTTTTAATTTTTTAAATAGTTAGGTGTTAAATATTTAAGGAAATATTTGAAAATAAAAATAAAAAATAAAAAATAAAAAATATTTAAAATTCATGGATTAATATAATACAAAAAAGAAAATTAATTTACACAGATAACTTTTAAATTTTAATTATTTTTAATTTTAATTCTTAATTTACACAATTCTTGTTAAATATTTACACTCAATTAACATAAGAGTTAAAATTAAACAGAATAAAATTTCAAAAACTAACCGAAAAAATAAAAAATTAAAGTAAGGTTGAAGTTAGGACAAATATTTATATTATACAGATGCTGGTCGTACCTCCTGTACAGAGGCTTCAGTAGTTGGAGATGGACATTCTCGTCATTTCATAAAAACAAAATTCGTAATTTCTCTTTTATTTCAAAAAGAAAGAAAGTATCTTCTTTTCTTTTTCTTTTTCTTTTTCAAATTTAAATACTATGTATAGTTTAATTGCAAAGAATTTTGAGGATTAATTAGGTAGCCCTTGGCCGCCAAAAGGTCGATTCGCCATATTTTAAGTAATATATGAAGTCGGTAATAAGTTGAATATTACCTTAATTAAAACAGTAAGAGTATTGACTACAATATTGACTACAAAAATTAATTCAATAAAATTGTAGCAATTCAATCATTTTCTTCTAGAAAGGTTTAAATAGTCGTGGCAACATAAGAGAATTATGTAATGTCCCTAAAAAATAGAGATTGAAATTATGTAATAAAATAAAACAATATATATAATATATTATTTTAAAGGAGAATGTAGTAAATAATAAATTTATGAAATTAAATTAAGTAAATAATAGATTTTAAAGATATTTAAAATAAATAGTAGTTTAGCGTGTAAATGTTTCATTTACGATTAGTAAAATATATTTTTTTTACGTAAATTTTTTTTTACGACTAGTAAAAAGATTTTCACATAAATAAATATTTTTTTACCACGTAAATTACTTTTTACTAGTCGTAAATGAAATATTTATACAATAAATTAATATTTACTTCAAATAGTTTTAAAATCTGCTATTTAATTAATTTAGTTTCATAAATATGCTATTTACTATAATTTTCGTTGTTTTAAAGCGCCAAATACTATCACGAGTTAAATGAAACTTGATAAAATTTTAATTTATCCATATGTATTCATTCCATGTTAAGGAATCCCGCAATAATAATCACATCAATAATATGATATTTATTTGTACCCAATTAAAGATTCTTTCATGACAAATTTTGAAGAGTTCTAACTTGGTTTAATAAACTTCCATCAAGAACATGCAGTTCACCATTCTTTTTGGCCGAAGGAACGTACTTCATCGAACTTTTTTGTTTGAGCTATAATTAAAATCTCATTCATCTTCCTAATACAACAAAATTGAGTTCACTTATTAGTGTCCCGAAGAAGTAAAGATAATATCCGTGAAGAAGTAAATATATATATATATTTATATTTATATATATTGCCTTTACAAACTCATCGTTATACGTACTAAATGTAATGTTATACTATGAACTTCTGCCTCACATGTAAGACCAATATTTTGTGAAGGACTTAAGTTTTGCCTATATAGAATGTGGTTTTACTTATTTATCCCAGCTTCATGAGTTCGTTCAGTTTCATAATATTAATCCTTGTATACTTATGCAACATCATTTCCAAAAGGAAATATCAATCATCAAAGAAAGATGATTAAAATATATGTTACAATTCTTAAAGCAGGCAATAGCTACAACAAAAATTCCTGTTAAAATGTTGTTGTTTTTTTTTTTTTTTTTTTTTTTTGGTTCAGAAGGAAAATGTTAGTTAGGTTAAAGACTGAAAAGTGAATCTGTTTTACTTTCGTAATAGAACAAAAATACTAAAAAAAGACGCAAGAAAAGAATTCATTTTTTACCTTTCTTTTTCCCCCAAAAATGATATTAATTTCACATTTTAACGACCAATTTGGATTATTAGGCTACTTGATCGTGTTTTTCTTACCAAGACCACAAGATTCTTCCACGGCTACAAAATGAACGTAAAAGACCCTTTGAAATGTCAACTTTCGGGTATGGTTCTTAGAAGTTTCATTTGAATATGTTTTGTCTCGTTTAGAAATACACACATATTATATAGGTGTATATGCACACAGATGTATATGTATCACAAGCGTTCCTAAGTAGCATCGAACTTCAATGTTCCCAAAAAAAAAGCAATAAACAAAAGATGGGATTTTGCGTCAAAGGCTGCTTAAAGGAGGAAAAAGACCACGTTTACACACAAAAAGCTTCTATCTGTCACATGCAAATGCATTGCAAAGTGGAGTCAACGATCAAATTTCTAGTTGGAAAAGTGGCAGCTTTAATTGAGCTCAAGCTTCAAAGCGTTTGTTTTCATGGCTGTTCCAAGGGTCTTTCTTTTGTAGGGAGATAGTGCATGATTCTAAGTGTTAGATGTGATTAAAATTAAATCGAAATAAAAATATTATTTAAAATATATAGTTTATATTACAAATTTAATATTAAAAAACAGAACCCTAGTGATAGTTTATTTGTTCTATACTTTTAAGAAATGTTGTCTTTTAACGTTATGTTTAGCATGATGGAAAAGTGAAAAAAAAAGAAGAGAGTAGAAGGATTATTGGATGAAAAATGATAGAATTAGTTGTTTAGTAAGAAGGAAGAGAGGAAGGAGAGAAAAATAGAATAGAAAAAAATTATAATGGGGCCCACTATTTTTATCTCTTTAATATTAGGAGGAAAACTCAAATTCACTATTGATAACTAAATTTACTTTTGTGTCCCTATTTTAAAATCTAAATTAATATTAAACAATTAATAAAATAATCATTTAGGCTATTATATGTTTTCTTTTATCTCATTATACCAAACACTATAAAGGAAAATCAACTTCATTCCTTTCCTTTATATTTTCTTTCTTTCACATTTTCTTTTTTTAATGTGTTTTTTTTTTTTCCATTCTCTTTTTTTTCCCTCCAACTAAACGGAGTGTAAAGGTAATAGAATGAGAAAGAGAATAACAGTTATATCTTGGCAATTCTGGCAATTCTGGAATGACAAGAAACGCCATGGACTTCCCTACTTTCTCAAGAAAAAGGAAAACAACGAACTATATAAAAAAAGCTTTTATTGTACCTCAAAGCGTTTGTTTAAATGGCTTTGAAAGGTTATTAAATGTGAGATTTTTATGCTAGAGTATGAATTGAAGCGTTAGATAGGATTTTGAACAGATTTAATGTTCAGAATTGTGTACTACCGAGTATACTACAATACAAAGCTCCTATAAAATAAGAAACAAAAACATGTCTTTCTTGGCAAAGCTGGTATGGCAACAAGAGCCAAGGGCTTCAGTACAAGTACTCTCTCAAGATATCCACTGGCGAAGGAAAACACCAAACTATGGATACATAAAATCAAGCCTTTATTGGACCCGTATGTTACAATATTCACATACATATTTGGTTATGCTCACATATCCAAAATGTGAGTACTCTTTCTAGGGCATCTCCTATCTGGGTTTTTTTAAAAAAGCATTCAGAGCAATGTAAAAGAATAATTCACTTTTACTGAACAAGAATACTGGTTCAATTAATTAACTGCCATATTCGTTTGTGAGCCAAAAAATGCAAATAAAGATATACTCTCCAGCATGCTCAAAAAGCAAAAATAGCTCCAAAGTTTACAGTGGTTGAAGTTCTTGCTCCGGGACCACTGCATTGACTGGCTTATATGCATTGAGGGCTTCTCGCCGGCGTCTCCAAATAAACCACATCCCAAAAGCTGATAAACTAATGATTAGAGTAACAAAACTTGCTAAAATGGCCACCAAATATCCTTGATGCCACCATTTCCTGTATGATAAAAAAAAATAAAAATATAAAAAATGCAAGAGTAGGAGATGCTTGAGTTTATGTGTTCACAAAAGAAATTGTAACCTGATTCTGGTACAAAATAAAAGGATCCGTTGGTGAAATGCGTCAACTTACCTTTTTTCCTTCGGTACAACATCCCATCCGACCAACTCATAGTTGGAAAAGGTACCAGGAAGCTGCATACCATGTTCAGCAAGCCGGGCAATTATACTCTGCAGGCAGAACAAGATTATCAACAAAACAGTTGTAATCTTCTGCATTACAAAAAGTTACAATTTGCTTTTTTCTTTTTTTGTTTTATTTTTTTGATGGGGGGTTATTCCAAAGATTAACTTACGGTTGCAGTTGTATCAGAGATGGAGCCAGCGGACACTGCTGGGACTATGCTCCATGCAATAAGGGAATGATTTCCTTTCGAAGTAAAATTCAATAAGCGGACCTAAAATTATTCACTCAAGATTATTGGAAAATTACAGGAGACTTTTATCAAATAATAGTTGACTGTAAAAAGATTAAAAAATAATAATAATAAATAAATAAATAAAAAGGTATCTCAGGAATTTAGTTTTTAGCAGACAATCAGTAGGTCATTGACATTAACGCCGATTATGAACATCCATAAGGTGTTCAGCTAACCTGTGAAACATTAACATGTAATTCGGGAGCTATGTATCCAGCCAGTTCTGTGATATGAGGCTTTAGATCATTGTGACTAATGTTGAATGATAACTGGAATCTTATTTGTCCAATTTGGCGATCCTCTGTGCAAAAAGATTAGAGGAAGATTATAATAACTGAAGAAAATCTCCATCAAACTGGGAACGCAATGTATATCCCAATAATTGAAGATAAAAGTTAAAGTGGCATTGCAATATATCAATATTCAAATAGATATTTCCAGATTTATGAAGCATTTTGACTTGGAACTAGGAAGAGAATTATCCACATATATCATTTTATTTCATCGCTATTGCCAAAGAGTTTATAGAACTCTATTTTTACAGTTAATCTGTCTCAGATAAGTTTGTACCTCATTCAATACATACATATATATACAAAATATGGGAAGACTCAGAATGCCATCTACATGCACTGGTAAGAAGCAAATACAGAATACAAAGTTTGCAGCTGACGAACCTGGAAGAACATAATCAGGTGCTTCATTGGGTGCTATTGTAGGTGGCACTTCACGAGTAAGATTATTCTCATCGAAAGCTGGAGACATTGGTGGAGGGGAATCAGATATGCGAAGCCTTTCCCATAACTCAGAACAATTTGTTTCCCAGAACCCAATCTTTGAATGCTCACGATCATACATGACAAGAGTATTCCGAACAATAATTCCTAGTATAAAGCGGTAAATCGCATTAAAAAAGTCAACCAATAGTATTGCTAAAAGTACAGGCTGGGAGCTTCATATTTATAGAAAATTTCCCAAAATAGAATAATAGATCCTTAAATGGCAGAAAAGGTCAGTGCTCCAGAAGTAGAAAGCAAATTTTGTTTCAATAAAAAAATAATGTTCTTAAAAAGAATCAAAGACATCTTTTTAAAGCATAATATACCTCCTAGAAGAGTGGTTGGATCCCTTCCATTCTGAAAAATACCCAAGCAATATGCACCACGCACCTTTGAATGCTTTACAACAACAAATAACCATAAAAATGAAATCAGAAAAGAGAAAAGAACGATCAATATGTGGATATAAAATGAGCAATGAAAAATTACAAGAACAGTTCCATTTTATCGAGTATCAGATCAAATTTGCAAAATATTTCTGCAGAGTTATTGTATAGTAAAATAAATCAATGATAATTATAAAAAAATTATAAAAAGAAGTAAATCAACTTGATTAAAAATAAACGTCTATTAAATTACCTGGAACAAGTAGTTTTCAGGAGATAGCGACAGTTTTTGTCCATTGCCAAATACCATATCTACCATGGGAAATGATTTTGACAGTTGGGAGACATCGCTGAAAAAAATTGGCTAGACCATTAATCTCAACATGGAGATAGAATAACAATTTGCAGAGAAGTCTTCTTTTATACTTGGAATAATTTTCAGCAGAATTATAAAATCTGTCATTTATAATAATACCTTTCAGCACCAGAAAAACAGATATCATTATAGTTTGGGTCAGGGCCACGGATCTGCCTAAGCGACTGAAGTTCCTTCATAATCTGCACGTGGGAGACGGGCGAGAAGGAAAGAAAAAAGAATAAAATGAGAGATCTTATGGCTTGTCGTCTATATGCAACGATTTGACTTGGAATTGTGTTTCCTTCTCAATGAAAATTAATCAAACCTTCAACTGAGACCCTTTACTAATAACATTACTGAGGAACACAAGGTAACTGTATCAACGAATTTCACTCGACCATATAAGTGGAATACACACAATAGAGAGAAGCAACGGTAAGTATCTATAGGTCTTAGTTATAACATAAGCTGCAGTTATTCCAAAGACAATTAAGAAGGAAAAAAAATGCAGTCACAAATAAAAGCTGACCGTGACTAGCAAAAAAAGAAAAAAGAAAAAACTTACCGCAGTCTTAAACGCTAGAAATGCTGTTTCCGGTAGGTAAGCATATGTGGTACCGCTGTCCAGGACAGTTCCATGTTTTCCATCAAAAACCATTGGGTTCAAAGCCAATTTCTTGCCCGCAACATGAATCTCCTTCAAATCGACGTTGTAATAAGGACTGTTGCCAGCCCGAAACTAGAGTGAATGCGTAAGAAGTATCAATTGTATTTGTTAGGTAATTGCAAAGCGACATTTTTATCTAGACTAAGCAACTGTCTATAAAAATACACACCTACGAACAGCATCAGAATTGGCAAAGACCATGCCAGAGGGAGGAGAGATGCCACCAAGAACCATGGCACCCCCACCAATATCCATTCCACCATAACACAACGAGAATGAATCACTGATCACACCCTTATCCACAAGCTGGTCCACAACACTCAGATCGCCCCGTCCCAACCCCATTATGCCATCGGCATGCTGACTGTAAAGGTCACCAGTTTCCATGTTTTCACAACCGAAAATAGCACGCTGCGGAGCAAGTTCACTCTGATTGCCAAAAGACAATAAATCATCGCTGAGCACGCCGCTACTAGTACTCATCTCGGCATACTGCCTCTCATAAATACATTGCACCTGGTCATTGTCACAAGTGCAATCTATATTGCATTTAACAGGTTGATAAGTACTTGACAGTTCTGGATCAAACCTGGGATCCTGGTAAACAACCAATTCAACACAATTGCACAAATTAGATTAAAACACACACACCCATAATAAAAAGAAATTCGATTATTGTCTATACACAATTTGGAAATTGGCAAACAAGAATGCTCAAAATCTAGCAGTAGCCATTTGAAAATTTTCATTTGTGCTTGTAATTCCTAATTCGAAAACAAGATATGAACAGGAAATACGAAAGATCCAAAACTTTCAAAATTCAATGTTTTTTTTTTTTTTTTTTTTTTAAAGATTAAAAAAAAAAAGAAATCACCTGGTGCTTGCCACACTGATCGCAAGTGGAACAGGGGACGTAGGTGACAGAGCTTCCGGTATCGACAATGAGCGCAAATCTCTGAGGCGGCGTCCCGATCCAGAGCCGCGTAGTGTAATACCTTCACAACCAAAAAAGTTCCAATGTCAAATCCTAAACCGAAAGTTCCATTTTTGTCGGACATTTTCAAAGAGGAAGAGAAGAATGCGCTCACCCGTTGAGAAGGAGGTCGTCGTGGAGGCTCATGCGAGCACTGGGGCGGACTTCGGCGGGGGATCTCTGGAGGTGGCGACGCAAATCCGAGGAAGACGACGACGACGACGACGACGTTTTATAAAAATCGCGGTGGAGAGGCAACAGAAAGGCGGGGCGCGCCTGGGCGTGCGGCGGCCGGAGGAGGAGCGGGGCGGCGGAGACTCGAGCGAGTCGAAGGAGGAGGAAGAAGGAAGATACGATTAGGAGGAAGGCGGTGGAGGCGAGTCGACCCGGAGCCATGGCCGCTGAGTCAGTGGCTCGGGAGAATCGAGGTCAGCGATGCAGATCGAGAAGGAAAGGGAATAATGGCGGAGTTTAATGCGGGTGAAAGGAAAGAGAAGAGAAGAGGTCTCTCTTCAACTCGAAGGAAGCTTGCGATACACAGAGAGAGGAAGAGGCAAGTCAGCGAATGAGAAATATTTATATTTATTTTTTCTTATTTAATATTGGACGGATATTATAATTTAATTCAAATATGATTTTTTTTTTTCCTTTTTTTTCATTTTGAAGTTAAGATGGTGCAATCGCAGTTGGAGTTTGCCAGTTTGGTGTCAACGTCTTATAACTATTATTTCCAAAAAAAAAAAAAAAAAAAATGAAACGAAGAAGGAAAGAAGGGAAATTTTACCTAATAGAGATCGACGGACGATGGTAGGTCATCTGACGTCGTTTTGAGATACAGATGCGTACGAGATGGCTGGATGCCTTTCCCTTTTTACAATGTTTTTACCGGAAATAACGGTTCTATGCGTGCTGAACTGCTGGCAAATACCTTTTTGCTTTTCAATTACAAGTTGCGAACATAATTTGCTTCTCACTGTTCGGAATTATCAAAAAAAAAAAAAAAAAAAAATTGCGGAGAACAAAGGAGAATTCTTTAATAGGCCAGGCCTTAAAAATTATATTTATATATATATATATGGAAATGTCTTCAGTCCGGCAGTAATTATTTACCTGACTTATTCGGTAAGTGACTTTCAGCCGTTGATGAAAATGGATGGGTGAGATTCATCACATCCTTGCAAAAGCATTCACAGGTGCTAGCTTTCGTACACTGCAAGTGACAGCTTTTATTGGTCATGTGTTGAATGAAGAGAAAAGGGAGAAGGAAGAGTGAGGTTGGTGGCCACGTGTATATGTGAGAGACAAGGGATGATGTGAGAGACAAGAGAGATGGCTGCAGGGAAAAAATATATTAAAAAAATGTGAAACCCAATTAAAAAAAAAAGCTCTTTTTTTGAACAAAACAAAGAGAGGCTTGATTAGCGAAAAAAAAGAGTGAGGCTTAATCGTTTATGGAGGGGGAAAGAGCTCAGTAAAAGCAGCAGCTTTTACAGTTTTACAGTAGGCGAAAAATGTAAGGATCGTGTATGTAAAATTTCATTATTTTTTGACGTCGTTTTTATTTTATTTTATTTTTTAAAGATGAAAAATAAAGAAAATCATAAAAAATAGAATATTCATCAAAAAAATGTGCCACTTATTGCATTAATTGCTAAAAATCATATATTAATTTTAGAATGTAAAAAATAAATAAAACTGTACATTTTTTACCCATCCCGGCCCCTGAGCTGGCCCCTGGCGCGCCCCACTACGCGAGGCGGCGGCTTTTTGACAGGTTTTACTTTTTTTGTCAATTTTTTCTGACATGTCTAGAAAAATGTAAGGATTGTGTCTGCAAAATTTCATTATTTTTTGATGTCGTTTTTATTTTATTTTATTTTTTAAAGACGAAAAATAAAGAAAATCATAAAAAATATAATATTCATAAAAAAAATAGTGCTGCTTGTTGCATTAATTCCTAAAAATCATATATTAATTTTAGAATATAAAATATAAATAAAAATGTAAATTTTGATATTTTATATTATATCGAAATATGCTCTTAAGATTTTGTATTTTTAATAATATTAAAACAGTATTTTAATCTTTTTAAAATATCTTTTTGATACCTAAAACTAATTTACTAGTTTTGTGTTTCTATTTATGCCCTTATCAATTTTTTTGTATTTTTAATCTACTTGTTATCTATTGTTTTATCTTACTTAAGTCTTAAGAAAAAACAGTTTAATTTGTGTTTCCTTCTATGTTCTTCACTTTTTGTACTTTTTACTTATTTGTTATCTACTGTTTTCTCTTACTTAGAGCTTAAAAAAAGTGATCAAATTAAATAATATTTGAATTACGTTCTGAACGTGGCTTCTGAATCTACAAAACTCACCCCATCAAAATAAGCTGTGCGGTCTAAATGTTAAGAAAAATAATAGAGTATGACGATTAGTTAGAACTTATTTGTTTACATCATAAAATTATTTTCTAATAGACAATAAATATAACAGTCAAATTCATGCAATTGCACGTGCCTACTTTTACTAGTTTCTTAAAAAAATGAAAATATTTTAAGACATTAAAATATTTAAAGGAAAATAATAAAATAAAAAGTTCATGATTTTTTTTCTAGATTTATTAGATTTTGATTAAGTAAAAGAGTACTAAGGTCATTTTACATCTTAAAAATCAACTTCAGAGTACCAAGAATATATTTTTAAAAATGTTGAGGTGTCATTTTAATATTATCAAGAACACAAGATACTAAAAGCATATTTCGCTATATACATTGTCGCTTACGTTCATTAACATGAAATACAACAAATCAGTCAATATACATATTTTTATGCTATGTGTTCACTTAATTGCTATAAAAAATACATATTTTGAGGATTAATATACATTGTCGTTTCTTATAACTTAACATATACATCTTTATATGTAAATATACGCACCTTATATATAAATATATACGAAAATGACAGAATTATACATCTGTCATTTTAGTCCGGCAAACAGTAACCGCCGGATTAAAGACCTTGCCTATATATATAAACCTCCACGATTCGTTATGAAAAAACTCTTTATCAGTAAAATTAAGCACATTTTTTTCTACATGTATTAAAGCACAGGTTTTAACTATGGGGTTTTCACTAATTTTATTAAATAAAACATATTTTCTTAATTAAATAGGATTATGATGTAATCCAACTGTGAAATACCTATACATGGTTCCATCGTACGCAATTTGACTCTTAACCACAAAAAAAAAAAAAAAAAAAAAAAAAAAAAAAAAAGAAGAAACTGAACTTTTAACAAGTGAATCATCTAATGCAGACAACAAAGTACCATAGTTAAGCCTAAGATGATCTTTCTGCTTCTATCATAGTTCAATATTCCTAAAGCCCCACTTTAAGGTCCATGCTCTGTTAATAAATTGTGCGACAATGGAATTGTGATGGTGTGAATTTTTTAATGAATTGAGTCAATATACCCTTGAATTTCGATGATAGATGAAGGGACGGGATTACACTAAAATCTCATTTATTTCACCAATTAAAATTTAAAATTTAAATTTTATTATAGTAAAAAACTCTCAGAAACAGTTACATTTAACTTTTTTGTTATAATAAAAAATTCTAACATAAAGTCACATTTCAAGTTGAATTAAAAACTCAAAATAACGAACTAAAGAGGCTCTAATATATCCTTTTCAATAGGGAAAACAAAAAAAAAAAAACAAAAATTAGCATAACTATGTCCATGCGCATTTCACCATAGAAGCCTTTTGTTAAAAAGATCACACGGGAAAGAAAATGAAATATGCAGCAAGCTAAATGAATATTTCAACGATTTTTGCCCCACATAATTGCTACATTGGCTTTCCAAAAATACTAGCATACATGGATTACTACATATATGGCTGGTGGTGTGAAGGCTGCAAACCGCCGCCTGCGTAACCTCCATAATTTGGTGGAGCAGAATTGAATGGGACTGGTGGAACCCTGTCATCTTGGGGATGGTAGTATAACGCAGGCTGATGGGGAACTCGAGAATCATAGCCGTGTGGATCGCCATAATGATATCTTTCAGGAATTCCCGCAGGCGCCACCCTCTCACCATAGATGGGAGGGCCGTGCCTAGCAGCGGAAGGAGCTAATGCAGCAGTAAAACCAGGTCCACGCTGATGTCCCGCGAATCTTCTGTTGGATTTCTGTTTCTTCGTATGTTGGAGTTTACCAGCATCTCCGCTCCTTTTCCTCTTATCAGCTTGGGATCTATCCAGTTGAGCAACCCTTTTATGAAGTGAATCGAGTGGGTAGTCGGCCTCAAGCTTGTGCTCTTCAACACACCTGATTACAGCCTTCAGTGCGGCAAGTTCTCGTGTGTTGACATCGCCCTGCAATTGAAAAGGATTTCATAAATATAGAATTCCATTTGACAAATTTCTTTTCACCTAATCAAACCGAGATGTACCTGAGCACCCACGGCATCACCCGTGTTCTCACCCTTCCCTTGCGAATTTCTCCTCAAGTCTTTCAAATAAGTCTTCAGGAGTGGCACAGGAGGGAATCTTTCAGTAAGTTGGAAGGCTTGAATAAATCGTACAGCATCAATTTGTTTCCCACTGTTGACAAGCGATTCAATAAGCCCTGCAGAGAAATTTAAGCTTCAACACCTTCTTGCTTCATAAAGAAATATAGTTCATTTAATTCGGGACGAAAAGGAACTGTCCCCAAGGCAACAACAAATCTTTCATGAGCCTCTACTTCTCAAACTATATAATACGCTACCAAAACCTAAAGTCACGGTTCAGCCTCCAAGACTCCATCAGGTCAGTTAATTGAAAGAACACCAACCTGGCACTTTGTGTGTTAACCCAAGAGAGCGGCAGAGCTCAGGTGCTTGCCTACATTGAGCAACTGCAAGAAAAAGCTTGCAGAGTTCTTCTTCATCAAACTCTGAAGCAATCCTAAAGGTTGCGAGGAGCCGCAAGAATGCCTCTGCTTCCAATGATACTCCATTGGCAGCATCAGTGCCTGAACTAGCCAACTTAGGCTTCCACTCATCAGCAATTGTTTTAGCTTGCTGCTTGGTCTCAGGGTTCAAAAGTTGATCAGAACCTGGGTCAGACTCGACCCTTGCCAATAAGGCAGCCATGGCCTCCGTTAACACGACACAACATTTACGCTTGCCCTGAAGGGCAGTGGCACATTTATCCCCCGGTTCATTAGTTTCATCAGGAGGGTAAAACCCCTCCAGTGAATCCAGCACCAAACGGGCCGGTTCACTTGCAGTTCCTAGTGCAATAGAAAGTTCATCACAAATGACATTAATTTTTTTATGATTCTCCATGGTATAATTTAGTAGCCCTTTGGCATCCATCAGCTTGCAAAATTCTACAAGTTCTGGGCGTGGCTTAACCTCAACAGCCACGCCTTCAGCATTTTCACCCGATTTTTTACGAGGAGAACGCTCCTCTGGAGAATTTCTATCACCAACAGAGCTGCTTACCTTGCTATCTCTGTTATTTCCATCCGCAATCGACTCTGCAACTGTATATTGGTGATTCGCTCGCGCATCCGCAATGGCACCAACAACAGCATCTTTCAGCTCCTGCACTCGATCCAACATATCTTGCTCTTTAGCTGCAACAGCTGCTTCTCTCTCCGCGAGCAAGTTATGGGTTGTGGCTTCTTTCTCCTTAAACTCCTTCTCCTTAGTTTCAAGCCCTTCGAGTGTCAACTTCAACGTCATCTCAAGGTTGCGAAAGTGCTCCTCAATTTCCATCCACTGAACCCTCTCCTCAGAAGCATTCTTATGAGCTTCCAGTTGATGAATTGCCTTACTAAGCTGTTCTATTAGAGAGGATTCCACATTACCAGCCACAACTTGCTCTATCTCAGCCATTAGAAATGGCAAACGAAACTCTTTTATAAATCCTACAAAACGTGATTGGGAAAAGTAAGTAAAAATTCAAACAGAAAGAGATAGAAGTTTATCATATCACACCAAAGGAGTCTGGAAAGAATCGAAACCTGGCTCTAATGGGTAGGTGAAAATCTAAAAATTTGTAGATTCAAAGGTCCCAGATAGCAAATAGTTCAACAATTTACACTGAATGAACATTTTAAAAAACAAAACAGAAAAACCTCTAGAAAACACAGGACTGCAACCACAGAGAGAAAACAATAACCATAGTAACAACTAACAATAAAAAACTAATTTAAGTAAATAAAGAAATTCCAACCATAAACCAAAAAATGGAAGGAAAAAAAAACCAATTACTGAACTCGTTTCTTTATTTTCTTTTGCAGTTTGCTTTGTTCCTTTCTTTACTTTTTAACCATGATTCTTTACCAAAAAAAAAAAAAAAGAACAATTGCTAAATTCGTTTCTTTTCTTTTCCACTTTTTCTTTCTTCCTTTCTTTATATGTTCACCCTAAATCCCTTATTCTCTAATAAACCCAAAAATTAAAAACCCAATTACTGAACTCGTTTCTTTTTTCTTTTTCATTGTTCCTTTCTTCCTTTCTTTACTTGTTCACCCTGAATCTTGTGGCTTCATTCTATTCTCCGATTGTTGACAAAATTAATTTTAAGTAACCTCATTTTTAAATGAATCTTTCACACCCAATTGATTCCAATGACTTTTCAACATTACACTTCTTTTTTCAGGCATTCCCAGGATCAAATAAACTTTTAAACCCAGTTTTTCCCTGAACCTAAAGAAATTTCGTTTAAACCATTCGAAAAAGAGAAAAGAATAACATGAAAACATGAGGGAAAATAAAAGAAGAAGAAAAACACACATAGAATTTAAGAAAATGGAGATATAAAGAGAGTAATGGTCTACGTACCGCCAAAAACAAATTTTGAGGTGAGAGAATAAAAACCCTAGAATTTACAGAGGTTTCGGTGCAGATGCTGCGAAACGAAAGGGAAAGACTTGAAATTAAATCCCAGTTTTTCTGATAAAAGGACCCTTTTTTTCCTGATAAAAGGACTGTGCGGGTGATCTGTACAGTATTAGAGTTCTCGCGCTTGTTTTTGTACTGCTAAAACGAGCCCTAAGAAAGACTCCGCTCTGTTGTTGACACGTGTGTAAATTTGGTCTGGTTTGAACCGACTCTAGGCTTTACCAATCAAGCGGTGGGCTGTCATGAATGGGTGTGCAACGGTTATGATGACTTTGATTCAGTGCTTTTCATGGGTTTGAAATAGGTGATTTAAATTTTATGGATGTTTAATTTACGGATTCAGAATAATGACTTAGAATTATTTTTAATTTATGTATATTTAAAAAAAAAAATGCTGTAATGAGTTACGAATCATGATTCAAATAATAATACGAATCATCATATCAAATACTTTTATTTTGAGAAAAAACTGGAATTGGAATTGCCGTTCGAATTGGAATTATCAATTCCAATTAGGGTTTAAACAAGTAAAAAATTGTAATTTGAACTGAGAAAAAAAATTTAATCTATATTTGAATTGTAGTTTTATTAAAACTCTGACGATGATAGATTTTAATGGGGTGTATAGATGGAATTTTGTTAGTCTCTTTCGCGCTGAATGCATAAAAAGAAATTGTATCAATTAGAACAACAAAGTTAATGACATTTGAAAGTTTAGATATAAGAGAGAAAATACTATTCAACGAGAGTTTAAACTCAAATTTTTATGTTTTTTCCCTCAGGAAAAAAAAAAAAAAGAAAGAGGGGTTTCAAGCTCTTGTTATTAATTTGAGTTGAAAACTTAAATTCCAACTTAATTGTGAAAAGATTTTTTTTTTACCTATAATCCTTGTATTAAAATCTCTATGGGTGTGTTTGGAACTTGTTCCAAAATAATTTTGTTTATTGTATGAAAATAGAAATGAAAATATTTTTAATCTCAGACAGAAATCATTTTTTAAAATGCATTTGGTAGTTTTACCAAAAGATTATTTTCAGTATAAAAAAATTCATTAATGTCTCTCTCTCTTTCTACTCGAGAGAGGGGAAAATGAAAATAAAAAATGAAAAACGACAAAAAGTCATTTTTCATTTCTCTCCCATTTTATACTAAAACAAAAAATCGTTTCCATTTCAGTTTTTTGTCTTTAATTGTGTCAAACGTCGTTTCTCTCCCATTTTCATTTTTTTTTTCTCGAAAAATGTGAAAAATAAAAACAAAAACAACTCCAAACACAACCTATATGATTAATAGATTGTGTGAGTTTGTGATAGTGTTGCGAAAATAAGGTCTTTGCTTAAGGACAATTTGTCTATCATTTTGCAATTATATCAATGACTTATCTTATTATAAAAATAATGTTTGATGTGCCCACAATCGAAATTCTCATTTTATTTAATGCTAAATTATAGTGTAAATAAGAATGATTATATCGCCTTTAAAATTTAGTTATTCACCCATATCATCTTTTATGTGGAAATTAGGGTTTAAATTTTCGATAAGAATGAAATATTTGGAATTTTAACTTTATAGATGTGGTATCCTCTTATTCACCACTAAATTATAGTGCGGCCTCTATGTCTAAGAATTAAACATTTTCTTTACACAAGAGAAAATATGACATATATTTTTTTAGAGTACATGAGTCTAGATTTTTACCCTTTATACTTGATTAATATTCTTTTAGCCCAATAACTATATTATTCAAAAGGTATTAATCAATGCTTCACACATCCAAAGAATAGAGAGAGAAAGTTAGTGAGAGAAAGTCTGAGAGTTCCACAAGAATTTGGGTTCTGGGGTCGGTGGTCTGGCTTTTTGTTGAGCTGCTGACCTCTAAATCTCGACAGGAAAATTGCACTAGTTAGTAGAGACGGCTTCGTTCTTACGGAAGTGTGGATAGCCAGCGGAATGGAGTCGTTTAAGGGGGAAGAGGCCGCCAATCTTTTGTCTTATATCTTGCGCACGTTCGCCTAGGGATCCCATTGAAACTTCGAGAACTAGATCGCAGGAGGGAGGCGAAGAAGGCGCTCCGGCGCGTGTGTCAATAGCCGTCGGTCGGTGGAGGCGCGTGTGCCCCATGTGCCGCCGGCAAGTGCTTTTGGTGCCCATTTTTTAGGCTTTTTCCGGTTTTGTTTCAACTGTTCTTCTCAAATTTTCGATGTAGGTTTGATCTCCTCGGTTTTCTCTAGTTTTTGTGTCAACTTTTCTATGTTTGTAATAAGGGCGGTGGTTTCCCACCTGAGCCGCTTTTATTTTGCTGTTTGATGGTAGTTTTCAATCATCGGCTTAAGGCCATTTGTATGCTTCCCAATTGTGTGGACTTCTTGGTCTAGCTAGAGTTTTCTCTATGTCATGTTGCTAATGTCCTTTTTTTTATGGAGTTTAGTGATTTGTTCCTTTAAAGCTCATAACTCTATCTCAATTAGAGGAGTTTCTTCAGTTAGAGCTTTAAATGTTCTAATAATTAGTTTGCCGAGGTTTCTTCCTATTTTCTAACTTCAGGCGTGTGTCTATCTCTCTACTGGGTCATCAACATTATATCAGATTGTATAATAAAAAATAAATAATAAAAATAAAAAATCAGGCACTTTTAAAAATAACTACACCCGAGTCCAAGACCTCCCAAAGTCCAAACCCACCCGAGTCACCCCATGCCCTTTCACCACGTGGAATTAAAAACAAATTATGATAATAAAAACATATTATTATTATTTGACTTTGCCTTTCCACCGAATCTGGATAATCACATATAGAAAACCGAAAATCAAAGTACTATATTTTTTTTCGTATCAGTTTCTTTTACTTTCTTTTTTTGCCTTTTCATGCTTATCTCTTTGAGTTTATCAACCCAATTATGATAGGCAATAGTCTAACATGATATCAAGAAGACGACTTTTGTGGCAAGTAAACAAGTCATAAGAACAGTCTCTTCTTTTAAGTTTCATTGACCCAAAAAAAAAAAAAAAAAAAAAAAAAAAAAAACAAGCAACCGTCTAACAAGATCAATTGCAAACACATCTCATCAAATTATAGGTATATTTTCTTCCAAGATCCTGGTGGAGAAATGCTTGGTGTTTGAGACTTCCCAATCAAAATGCAGAGAACAGTTTCTCGTGCATGCCAAATAAACAAATTCCACGTCAATCACAAATGCATAAATATTGCTATAATGTTGTGAAGAAATCACACCACTTCATATTGGAGTGAAAGATGGGAAAGAAAATCCCACTTCATAATTATGCCAATGGAATTTTTCAACTGCATGTTGAGATTGTATCCTAGTCTGCCTTTTTCTGCTCCATATACAAATACATCAGAAGAAAAACTATAAAACCAACTCTACCATACAGAAAGCGAAACATCATCGAGATTCGATCCACTACTCTCAAATCCCTACAACCAAAAGCAATTTGAAGCTGTATGCTTAACTGAGAGGCTGAATGTTGAATCAGAAAAAAGCTCCGAGAATCTTTAGTTCACAAGCCCTTCAGCCATTTGATTGTTATTATAGTCAGGTTACTGAAACTGGTTTGAGCTGTTCACTCAGTTTCCTGTGTCTGTGATCCTCTTGGATTGCAGAAGGCCACTCCAACATGAAAAGGAAAGGCCTCGGGAGATGAGGTAAACGATGAATGCGACATACGCGGCGGTAAAAGTGCACACAATGGTGCCGAAAAACACTCCGGCCACTTCGGATGAGAAGAAATCGAGCAAAAGATAGCCGTTGATAAGTATCACCAGGGCAGCCACAGTCCATGACACTGTCTGTATAGAGAATAAAATATGAAGAAATAAATTAATGGCAAAAGGGTAGGCCACTAGAGCAATAAGAAAACGGCATGGACAGCATGTTGAGCATTTAATTATCAGATAATTGACTTATATTTGTTAAAGAGCTGAAAACTGACGCGTCATGCTTCACAAAATAAAAATATACCAGATAGATAACTAAGCTTCATATGAACAATGAAAATGCCAGTTTCGTACACATGCTTAAATTTCACTCCAATATTCCACAAGAATTAGGGTCCTAACAGAAACGTCTTTAGTCCTGCAATTCTATAATTTTAATGAAATGAAACTGATAAAAGAGGGGGAAAAAATACCTTAAGGACAAGGCCAATCCTGAAAGTCCCCATGATTTGCTCCTTTGAAACTAAGTAGAGCAAAGGAATAAGGGCAAAAGGAATCTGAACTGACTGGAGCACATTAAGCCACTCATTTAGTTCATCTAGTGTCTCCTCTGAGGTATCAAAGGTAAGAGCAACTACCATTGTTGGAACAATTGCGAAACTTCGAGTAATCAACGCCCTCAGCCATTTCTTCAACCTCAAATTCAGAAAACCCCCCATGATAAACTGCCCGGCGTAAGTGCCGGTAATAGTGCTGCTCTGACCGGCGGCTAATAACCCAATACCCCAGATGTACAAAATCGGAAACAATCCTCCTCCATACTTTTCTTGAAGATATTGTCCTGCATTTACAAGGCCAATACTATTGGCAAGTTCTGTACCATAAAACCCTTTAGCGAAAACCGTCGTCACGAATAGATTGATAATGAAGGAAACTACAAGGGCGACAGTGGACTCGATGCTATAGTAATTTAGAGCTTCTTGGACTCTTCCTTTCTTGGTGTGATCAATCTCTCTTGACTGTACAAGAGCAGAATGCAGAAACACATTGTGAGGCATAATGATGCAGCCTACAACTCCAACAGCCTGCTTTATGGTTTTGGAGCTAAGCTTTGGAATCAAAACACCTACCAAAAGAACAAAGAACATTTTCACATTGCATTACGCGTGAGAAACTGAGATATTATAGCATAATTATTCCATAATACCAGCAAAAGGGAACATAAAAAGAGATTCCAAGTTGAGCAGAATATGTTACCTAGAAGAAGTTCTGTGCCGCTCGGCTTAGTTTCTCCAAACATCCAAGCGAATGAGAGCGCCATTGTCGCGATGAGAACCGCAAAAACTGCTTCTAATTTCCTCACACCGTAATTCTCCAGAAACAGAAAGATAAAACTGCAAGAAAGCAATAAAAAGAATGTCAAACACAATGCTACAAGATTATGAAATAAACAGAGTAGCAACTTGCTTTGGTTGCAATTAAAACGTATAGAAGGGCATAAATATTGACCAAGAACATCTCATTCTCATATTTGATTTTTGAATCATAGATCCGAATATTAACTTATTTTTTTATTGGTAAAATTTTACCTTTAAGATGTTCACTGCTTAGGATGGTCTAAGAGATCTGTTATTATTATTTACTAATATATATATATATATATATATATATTTTAAGAAGAGACTTCAAATTTCTCATATTTGCGGAATAAAAAATGAAAAAAAACTGCCCTTCCATATATTCATTTTCCACAGAAAAACTGACCGTTCCCTTCTTTTACTCAACGTTATTAAAAAGAAATAAAACGTCCTCAACTACAAAAACAAATTTTTGCAAACGGAAAACTTGACAAAAGCAACATCAAACCAAAAACCAATTTCGCGGGCAATAAACAAAACCACACAACTAAAACAGCAAGGCAAATACAACAACCAAAAGAAAGTAGATTAAAAATGGTAAAAAAATTAAAATTAAACTTAAACTTAAACTTAAAAAATAAAAAAAAAACCCACCAATCCAAAGCGGTGATAATGACCCCAGACCAGAGAGGCAAAGCCCCATTACTCAGAATCTTAATGGCAATGGCACTTCCAATGACCTCCTGAATATCAGCCCCAATGAGTGCCAGCTCAGCCATGACCCACAGCACCATGGAGGCCCACCTAGGGTACTCCTCCCGACAGAGCTCCGACAAGTGCCGCCCCGTCGCGACGCCGAGCCGCGCTGCCAGGAGCTGGACGAGCAACCCCATGGCGGTGGCCCACATGAGCAGCCACAGCAGCGAGTACCCCGCGATCGCCCCCGCCTGCAGATCGCCCTCCAGGTTCCCCGGATCCAGAAACGCTATGCTCATCAGGAACCCCGGCCCCGTGAACAGCCACAGCTTTTTCCACGAAAACGGCGGCGTTTCTCCCGCCGACGCCGCCGCCGACGCCAACGAGGAGGAGGCGCCGTCCCGTTCGTCGTCGGATCCGATGATCAGGACCTTCTCGCTCGCCTCGTACGCCGCTTCGTCGTCGTCGGATGAGGAGAGTAAGAGCGGTCTGTTGCGTTCGTCTTGGGACGCCATGGCTTTGGACGACAACACGCCTGAGTTGTTGGGAGTTTCTTTCTTAATTTTTTGGGTTAATTGAGGTTTCGGTTTTGGATTTGGTTGGTGGTGTTTAGCTTTTGTTGTGTCTGGTTTTAAATCCTTCTTCTCCGAAGTGTTTAACTCCTAAGTCCCAACTTTATCGTTAAAGGGACGATGAAGTCCAGAAAAAACTGCCAGTCAGTCCCGCTCGCGCCCTCTCTCTCTCTCTCTCTCTAGACGGCCTCTCTCTCTCTCTCTCTCTCTCTCTCTCTCTCTCTCTATAGAGCCGTCTTTTATTTTTTGATCTTTAATAATTGGGGACATTTATGGTATAACATGTATTTTTATTTTAGAGATATTTTTTTAGAACGTTAACATATTAGTTAATTAATAAAAATCACATAAAATAGATCTAATATTTAAAAAAATTTAGGGTGCGTTTAGAATTGGTTCCAAAACGTTTTTATTTTTTGTATGAAAATGAAAACAAAAATATTTTTATTTTTATTTTAGAATCATTTCTGAAAATGCGTTTAGTAGTTTTATTCTGAGATTGTTTTCAATTTTAAAAAACTAAAATTGCGTTTGATAATTTAATTTTAAAAAACATGTAATAATATTTAAACTAATAATATATTAAATAAACAATCAACCCATTTCCTTACCTCATCAATCAACGGAGACGAGTGGGGGGAGGGGGGCGCAGTCGGAGACGCTTGTTGTCAGAGAAGATTGTGGGGGGAGGCAGAGGAATTTGGTTGATTTTTTGATTGAGTTTTTAAGAAAATGAAAATGGAAAATTGAAAACGATTTTCAATCGTTTTCAATTTTGTTGAGTTTTTAAGAATAAAGTAAAAAACGTTTTCATTTTCTGTTTTTCAAGAAATGCTGCCAAACGGCTTCCTCGGAGCATTTTCAGTTTTTGATTCTTGGAAAACGTGAAAAACGGAAACGAAAACGGAATCAAACAGGCCCTTAGTTTCGTTCGCTTTGTGAATTTAAGTTTTTTAATTCGAGTTGAGATGTGACATTTTTTAGAGCTTTTAACTGTAACAGGAAAAGTTAGATGTGACATTTTATAAGAACTTTTAACTGTGATATCTTAAAACTGAAAACTCGAATCGGTGAAATGAACGAAACCTTAATACACTAAACGTACTAGAAAATTTGTCTTTATTTTATTCATAGAAGCTTTTGTTGTTAGTTGTTGGATTATTTTCTCCAACAATAATTTATACATATATGTATTTAAAATTTATTATGCGTTATACACAACTACTTTTACATTAGATTAAACCGTTAAAAAACTAATTCAACAACGAAAATACAATTTCTATTAATAAAGAGTAAAATATTATTTATTATAAATGCATTTAAAATATAGTTCTTAAAGCACTTTAGAAAAAAAAAAACAAATATACCACTCAAGATAATAAAATATATGTATGTCACTCTATTAAAAAAATATTTATCATTCACTAAATAAAAAAATAAAAAAATAAAAAAACTTAATAACACTTAATTATTTAAAATAATATAAATAATAGACATACACAAAACCATAACAAACCATCTATTTCTCTCTTTTCTTTAAAAACGTCTTAAAGGTATCAATAAAAAAAAACACGTTAATATTCACAGCAAAAAAGTGTGCATGAACTCAAATCTTTTCTTTTTTTTCTTTTTATATATAAAAGAGTGACTAAAAGGACTAAATGACGACAAATTTTCGTTCAAAAAAATGACGACAATTTTTTTAACTCAGTGGCATAAATACACAAAATTTTAGTGGACAAGTGGCAAGGCTTTAAATATTATTTTTAACACGAGGCAACACGAGAAAAGAAAATAACTGGTTAGTTTTAGTTTTTTTTTTTTTTTTTTTTTTTTTTTTTTTTTCCTTTTTGAAAAACCACTAATAACAAATAAGAATAGAATATATTTTAGTGAACTAGAATACAAACAGGAGAGATAGCGATAAGAAAATGATTCGAGTCTTTCACTTTACCCTTTTCGTTACATTTTTATTAAAAAAAGAATAAAACGAAATGAAATTATCAGCTAGAGTTGGATATGTTCTATCAACAACATTACGAATCAAAGAATGACACGTACAGAACGGAATGATTTTTTAATTTTGACTATAAGTTGGAGGAATAATTTAGATCTCATTTATTTCACTTATTTAAATTTTTAATTTTTAATCTTTACAGTTAAAATTTTTTAAAAAATATCACATTTAATTTTTTTTACTATAATTAAAATTTTTTAAAAATATCACATATTTACACAAATTTACGAAGTCAAAATTTGTGTTGTTTTGTTAAAATTAACGATATGACTTCCATTATACATGCAATAGTGACGACAGGACTAGTAGGCGTGATCTCGCGGGTTCCAATGACAGCGACTTGCTATTTTTTATTTTTTATTTCATATTTTAATTTTAATTATTGGGTTCTTTTTCTTTATTAAGATTATTTAAAACTTTTTTCTTTTTTTTTGAAAGATTATTTAAAAGTTGTAAAAGTTTTAGCCATTCTTAATTTCTATTGTTATTTTTTTTTGGCTTTTTACAATTAAATCAGTATTTATGAATAAAGGACAAACGCAGATGCTAGTTTCAACCAGAAAACAGCCATATGCTAAACTCTTTTTTCTTGTTCTTTTTGAAGGAAACAATAAACAAATTGAAATTCTTTAACTATAGTTATTATAATTCCAAAAAAAAAAAGAAAAAAAGCAAAAAACAAAAATCTGAATTTTTTGAGTGAAGTAAATTTATCTTCAAAACGAAAACAAAAGAAGAAGAAAGTGAAATTTTTAGGGAACCATACCTATATACGAAATAAAAATGGTTAAAATGTAATTACACCTTAAAATTATTAAACACTACCTTGACTTTCAACTAAAATGATAATTTCGTTTCTTTTTTTTTTCTTACAAATAATAGATGTCGACATTATGAACTCATAATTTGGCGATCCACAGTGTATGGTTGTCCTGCTCAGCCATATCCCTATCTAAACTTTCCCAAATTTCAAATTTTTGCATCAACATAATTTATTTCCTCTCTATTTTCAAAAAAAAAAAAAAAAATCTCTTTTGTGTATTAAACGACAAGCAAATCAAAGTCATAAAAATGATAAATTTATGATTAAGTTTCTTTATTTTTCCTTCATTTTCTTTCTCTCCCTGATATTTAAATTCATTAAAGCCTTTGTCCTAAGTATATATTTAGGTGCTTCGAGGAAACTAACCGCTTTTGTAATCTTGCTAATAACGAGGCCCATAATAAAACACTGTACCAACCTTAGGTATTTAGTGGACCCCACGACCGCATTATCTTGATTCTGAAGGGGACAAGGGAAAGGGATGACATGTCCCACTTTGAAACTTCATACCCAATGGAAATGCGCCACGTGACACAATTTTTAGTTGGTGGATTTTTTTAGTGTGACGGGGACAGAAAGGAGGCGTGGAAAGGAGGCGTGGGATGGTGCCGCGTGTGTGGAGGCAACGAGTGAGATCACGTTTTTGTCGTGGATGGCCCGTGGTTGCACGGGCTTCTCTGCTGCCGCTGTGACGACAAAAAACCAGCCTTAAAGTTCGAAGTCGTCGATTTTCTCCGAATCTCGTCTGCCTGTCACTGAATGGTGTAAGACCACGTGCGATACTTTCAATAAAAAAAAAAAAGGAAAAGAGAACCACGTGCAATACACCCCTCAGTATTTAATTATTTTTACCAAACTAAAGAAAAGAGTTAATTGCACCCTGCATGTATTGGTAATTCATAATTTAGACACTGCATTTTTAATTTTAACAAATTAAATCTTTTATTTGAAAATATATTTGTAATTTTGGTCTAATAGCTGGCCGGTGTTAACAAATGCGTGGAAATGCCTTGATTTTTTTATTTTATTTTATTATATGTATAAAAATTAACAACCTTTTGAAATAAAATTTTCCAGTCTTTTTTCATGATGAAACTTTGTTCAAAATTTTTTAACTCATTTGCTAACAATTGGTAGCAATTCTAACAATCGATTATGGGTGTTTTATGTTTCTTTGGTAACAATTACTTTTATGTCACTTTCTCCATGCAATGAATGACCCGTTAATTCTATTATTTTATTTTTAATTTAAATAATATTATATTATATTATTAAAGTTCACATATCAAATAATAAATACAGAAAATAACAGTAAAACTAGCATTATTCTATTATTATTCAATTGTTCTATATTAACTTCTTGATTATATATGGATACGTTTATTTTTTTCTTGAATTTTCACTTTTAGTTGATATTTTGTGATTGAAAAGTAAAAAAGCGTATAAAGTATATGTGCTAGGCAGAATACGGTACTAAAAAGATGAAAATGAGCAAAATGTGTCGACTCAAATTCAAATATGATGCTAATTGTTGTACGATTGGATATGAGATGGCATTTTTTTATCTTTAATTTAATGAAATTCTTTCTACATTTTTAATAATATTGTGATGACTCTATTTAACTCTTAGAAACATAGGTAAATATGGGAAAAGTCTCTCCGGAGAGGATTCTTTGCGCCTTCCTTGTTGCCATTCCTTTTTGGATATTAAAATTAAGTGCTCACATGGTACTGCACTCGTATGGGAAGAATACAAATTTTTAATAAGAAAAAACAGATCGATTTGATTATTTGTATTTTTATATTATATTTCGAAATTCTCATTTAATATTGTATGTTAATTACATTACTTCAGGAAATGAACATGCATTATTATCTAAAAAAACCCCGCCCAAAAAAACAAATTTTGGGCTTTAGTGTGCTATAATGGTAACAACACTAGTAAAAAAATAAAAAATAATAGTAGAAGAGTATAAAACAAAACTGGTGCAGTTAATTTGACTTGGTTAACATAAAGGCAAAATGTGTGTAGCAGAATTATTTGATTTTTGCATTTCAACCAACACTTATTTTTAAGATTTAATAATTCTTAAGAGTGGATTCATCTCTTTTTTTCTATTTGTGTTGCAGCCATTTAATTTGATAATAGTACCAAAGATAATAATGAATCAAAAATAAATAAATAAAAAAAATGACCGGCTTAAATCGTGTATCAACGGCCAATCTCTGTTAGAAGAGAAGGTTTCGTGGGAATAATTATTTATTTCTATTTTCAGGTACCTTATCTCTCTCTTTTTTTTTCAAAGAAAAAAAAGAGAAGACGTGTGGGGAGAAATGACAAGACGATACTGGAACATCAATTTGTAAAGACAAAAT